GATAAAAAAAAAAAAGAAAAAAGGGTACAACAATATTTTTTAGGAAAATGATACATTGTCAATCTAGTGTACAACAAGTGGATGTTTCCACTTGTGTTGTGAACCTAGTTGTACACTAGGCTGATAATGTGACATTTTTATTTGTTTTGTAAATCAGTATATGATTACATGTCACTGTTCCATTGAATTGTGCATTAATTATTATTATTATTATTATTATTATTATTATTATTATTATTATTATTATTATTATTATTGTTATTACATGGAGAAAGGTAAAGAATAATGAGAAAATTTGTGCATTCGATGCTTGTAGATATTCAAGCTGTTCTCATATTTTTTCTCATGTGACTGGACAATGGGCACCTAATTTCTCTGACTCATTTAGTAAATTTGTTAGAGTAATGCTATAGAGTCCATTTGGATGATAACTTGGTTTACAATTCAAATATAAATGCATTATTTTTTTACTTTTTTTATAATACATTACACTTGGATTGTAACTAAAGTTGTCAATCAAGTAGACTAAATAACTTTACTCAATTTGTTATGATAAATTGTTCAAACTTGAGCTCGATTACCATAAGATATAGTATGGATTGACTTGTTTATACGTCAGAATTGGAGTTAGAAATTGTGATCCTATTACTATTAGACAAACACAATCATATCTATATTTTTTTGATAAATATGAATAATTTTAAAAATTAGTGTCATAAAAAAAATACATAAATTTGCCATATCCAATAAAATTCCAACTTCCAAGTGTCGTTCTCTGATTTAACAACAGCAACCGCGTTTGACCCCACGCTTGAAACTATAATTTTACTGCTATACCCTCTCCTTCCCGCGGGCAGCTTCCTTCCTCGCCTTCCAATTTGCCTATCATGGCCCGCAGACCTTTCTCGCTCCTGCCCGTTTTGCGCGGGCATCTCTAGTCAATCTCGCGTCGTCTACTCTCAGCAGCTTCAACTCTCGACGACCAATAATTCACTCTCTGCAAATATCCGATATATAGAGACAGAATTTGTGCATATATATATATATATACACACACCGACACATTCGCACCATTTATAGAAACTGTGGAGCGATTGGAAGCTTTGTTGAGTCCTTTCAGTTTTTGGATTTCGATCGAGGCGAGGTAATGTGGAGGGTGGCGCGATCTGCGGTGTCGGGCCTCCGCCAGACCCTCCGGCGGGCGATGTCGACGGCGATTCCCGGACCTTGCATCGTGCACAAGCGCGGCACGGATATTCTCCACGATCCTTGGTTTAACAAGGTTGATCTTGTTTTATTAGTCCTCGTTTTAATGGCAGTTTTGCTGTTTGAAGCACGATTGTGTTGTATTCTAGATTTCTGAGATTGTGATATTACTATTGCACTTTGGGCTTGGGTCTTCTGCGGTGTGTGATGATTTTTGAGATCTGTTTAAGTGTTTTTATTCATTTTCCCTCCCCCGGGTTTGACTATTTTCATCATGTTAAATCACTGCAGTTTTAATGTTATTGAATGAAATGTACTTATAGTTATTTAGCTTCAAATCCATAGGAGCTGTGTGGTATAAGGATATGCAGAACAAAGAAAAAACTGATAAAATTTTGCCTGTATTTCTAGAAACAAATTTACTTTGAGGTTGTTGGAAGTTGCTGTCTCTTGTTGGGTGGCTGAAACAAGCAGTGTGGGTTTCTATTAAGAGAAACAAACTTACTAGTTGTTTTTACTTTTGCATCAGTAGATTGGATACACACGTAAAGCCACTGACGGATATGTAAACTGAAAGTATTGTGTTTCACAGAACCTATGTTAGTTGAACTATCGTTTGGTAGTTTATCTTTCTTTTATTCATGCCTATACCAACCTGATGATTGTTTTTCCTAGCATTAGGCAGCCAAATGAAGATGTAGTATCAAATTTGATTATCTTTTACGTCCAGTGCCTTGATGAATCAATCATATACTCACTGAAATCCCTGAAGAGCAGGATACAGGCTTCCCTTTGACAGAGAGAGATCGTCTGGGATTACGCGGTCTGCTTCCACCACGAGTGATATCATTTGAGCAGCAATATGAACGTTTCAGTGAGTTTACTAGCTCCTCTGCTGCATTGAATTGGCTACAACTAAATTTCATAATAAGTTATGATATTTATTCTACTGCTTGTGTCTTGTTAGTGGAATCATATAGGTCCCTGGAAAAAAATACTCAAGGGCAGCCGAATAAATTTGTGTCCCTTGCGAAATGGAGAATTTTGAATAGACTCCATGACCGGAACGAGACATTATACTATCGAGTAAGTGTTTGACCCATGTGTCTTGGATGGGACTAAAGATTGCTCTCATCAATATATAAGCTGAAGGTGTCCTTTGTTTTATACTGCAGGTCCTGATTGATAACATCAAGAACTTTGCCCCCATAATATACACACCAACAGTTGGATTGGTGTGCCAAAATTACTCAGGTTTGTTTAGACGTCCGCGTGGCATGTATTTCAGTGCCAAAGATAAAGGGGAGATGATGTCTATGATCTACAACTGGCCTGCTCAGCAGGTATTATTAAACTTAGATGATGGCTTGATTGTTTAAAACGATACAATCAGTAATTTTCGCCACATATCATATATTTTCTTTCGTAGCAGTTTCTAGTTTTTCAATCCGAAAATTTGTGAACAATCTTCTTTGGGACGTAGAAGCCTGCAAATATAAATGCAATTTGACATGTTATATAATATCAATAAGTTTGTTTTATGGCCATTGAGTATAGGATTTTGTGATTTGACATGCAATTTTCACATCTCATTTAATGATAATTGTTTTGGTTTTCCCTTTCTTCTTTTGTCCTATTTTTTTTATCTTTTAACTTATTTTTTCGTTTACTATGAACTTGAAATTCTTTGTTGAACCGTTCCTCTTTCAGGTTGATATGATTGTTCTCACAGATGGGAGTCGCATTCTTGGTCTAGGTGACCTTGGAGTTCAAGGAATAGGTATTCCTATTGGGAAACTTGACATGTATGTTGCTGCTGCTGGCATCAACCCACAAAAGGTATGTCAATTCTCATCTCTGTTCTCTGTCTTCGTTGATGACAAGCAGGTTCGTTCTTCACATGTGTAGCCAACACTTGTGAATTAACCATTGATATCTATTTTACGTTAAGTACTGTTTAGGCATTCGAAAAACATAGTAAGCATGCATGTGGAAAACCTTTTTAATGGATATGCTTTTCTTACCAAATGTAGATATATTCATATACGCATGATTTAAGTTGCCATTTAGAAGTTGCAAAATGAAAATGATGTTATAAGAAGATAGATGTGGTGCCCTCATATTACTTATGAAATTTCTAAGACTTGGGTTTACTTATTCATATGTCCAGGTACTGCCAATTATGCTTGATGTCGGTACCAACAACCAGAAGTTACTTGAAGACCGTCTTTGTGAGTAGAATTTCTCAACGTGCTCATGTTTGATCTTGCTTCAAATTCCTTCTATTTGCCTTTCCAGATGCTTATGTTTATTATATGGAGTTCTGCCTCTTTATTTATGCTCTTGTTTTCCTTTTCAATCTTAACAAGCAAATTGCAGCAAGAAGTAATTAACCATCATGTTTCCCTTTGGTAAGTATTTGCTACTGACATTATTTTAGTTTAACAGATTTAGGAGTCAGACAACCAAGGCTGGAAGGAGAAGAATACTTGTCTGTCGTTGATGAACTCATGGAAGCTATTCATGCACGTTGGCCAAAGGCTATTGTGCAGGTCCATTTGTTTAAATCATTTATTTTAATGACATTGTGGTCAAATACAATGTTAACAATATGCTGTTGGGACAATCTTTTCAGTTTGAAGATTTTCAAATGAAGTGGGCCTTTGAGACTCTCGATCGGTACCGTAAAAAGTTTTGCATGTTCAATGATGACATACAGGTAAAATGATGTCATACCCTGCTATTTTGTTTACTTGGATGAATGATAAGTTGAAGAAGAGGTTTCTGAATGTGCATCTCTGAACCAATGTTTATACTCGCAATACATACATACAGGGAACAGCTGGTGTTGCATTGGCTGGACTACTTGGTACTGTTAGGGCACAGGGGAAGCCACTGACTAATTTTGCAGACCAAAAGATAGTCGTGGTTGGGGCTGGAAGGTTGCATTGATTTGTTTTTCGGTTAACTATTTGTTTCCATTCTGAGAACTTTAGGAAACTTTATTGGTCTGTGGGAAGCTTTGTACTATTTCCTTAACCCATGGTCTGTACTTGCAGTGCAGGACTTGGCGTTCTTAAGATGGCATTACAGGCTGTTTCAAGAATGAGTGGGCCAAATGCAGATCCTCACTTCTTCCTTCTTGACAAAGATGTATTTATTCGAAATCTCAGCTATTAAATTATGTTATGTTATCTTTAGTGCAATTTCTAAAATTGGCTTGAACAGTGCTGTATAGAGAAATAGTGAGAATCAGTAATTTAAGGTCTTAATAATTATTTAGTAATTTTCAATTTCTTTTTTGGTTTAAAAAACTTGAAAGTCTAGTGGTAATTATGTCTTCTGCAATAGTAAGCTAGAGGAAAACAGATAGCAGAAAAGAGAGGCTTTCTTTTTCTTTTTCTTATTGTTTTTGTTTTAGAGAGTTTGGGTGGTTGCTTTGGTAGTCCTTCAAATGAAACAAATCATAGTTATCTCAGGAGAAAAATGGGCAAATACCATTTTACTAGGTCATAGAAGTTTATAACTTTCCATGAAGTTTCTTTCTCGACTGGTTTGTATTTTGGCATATTAACCTTGATTATACTGGCCCACAGGGTCTGATCACGAAAGAGAGAAAATGTATTGATCCTGCAGCTTCTCCATTTGCTAAATCGCAAAGTGAGATTGGAGAACTTGGACTTAGAGAGGGATCCAGTCTCATAGAAGTGGTAAATCTTGTTCTTCCAACATATGTTAACTAATTGACAGATTGCTTGGAAATTACAATTCTATAGTGGTTTATGGATCAAGATAATTTTTTCTGAAAACGAGTCATGATGCAGGTTAAGAAAGTCAAGCCGCATGTGCTTCTTGGTTTATCTGGAGTTGGCGGTGTGTTTAATGAGGAGGTTCTTTCCTCTGCACCCAGACTTTCTTCTGATCTGTTTTGTTCCCCTTGATATATTCAGTTTTTTATTTTATTTTATGAATCATTGAAATGGCTTCATAAGTTCTTTATAACATGATGCCCACAGAGCATTTTATTTTGGCACCATTTCAGTTATCTCAAGTTTGGGACTGTGCTATTTTTTCCTTTCTGCATATTTGAGTCCTAAGAGCAAGAAAGGCATACTCAGTCTCCTGTGTCTCTCACACACATGGCATGCTTCTATCATTTTCTGCATAAAACTTATAAGCATTATCCACTCAGATCCATTTTATGTTACAAAATTCCTGAAATGTTTTTTACCTTCTAATATTTAAGCATTTATTTTTCCTGAGATTTCTCATCTCAATTGTCCAAACCATATAAACTAGATTTGCCTGCCTAACGATAGTACTGCTAGGCATCAAATTTATTACTGTTCTTTGCACCGATTACTCCAATTTCATGGATCATTTAAAATAAATAAATTCTTTGCTTACATGGTGGGCTCGTAATCAGGTCCTGAAGGCTATGCGAGATTCAGACTCCATTAAACCTGCTATTTTTGCTATGTCGAATCCTACAACAAATGGTTTGTTCTCTACTCTCTGCTACTTTGTACCCTCTATTATCTTCTCTCACAGTACTTTTTGTGCATGACCTAATATCTTTACATGCTATTGTGGAACAGCCGAATGCACTGCTGCAGAGGCTTTCAAGCATGCCGGTGAAAATATTGTTTTTGCAAGTGGCAGCCCTTTTGACAATGTTGATCTTGGTATATGTCCGATAATTTTCAGTTTATTTTATTTTTTATTTATTTTGGCGAGCCCTAATTTGTTCCATTTTATAACAGGGAATGGCAAAGTAGGTTATGTCAACCAAGCCAATAACATGTACCTCTTTCCAGGGTCTGTAGCAATTTCTGAAATTACATTTGGATATTGCAATCCCCCCACCTCTTGTACATAAATGAATATTATGAACTTTCTTTGCTCATTCAGAATTGGCTTGGGAAGTCTTCTCGCTGGTGCTCGTATTATTACGGATGAAATGCTGCAAGCAGCTGCCGAGTGGTACGCATTAGCAATTTCCCTTTCTATAATAAAAAATAAAAAAAATAAGTTGACTGGTTTCCTTGGACACTTTTCATATTATAACAAATTACACGTTACTAATTGTCAATCTTTTAAGGTATCATTAGCAACTTGACTTTTGACAAATTTGCGAATAAAATGTGTTATCTCTTCATCATGAAAGTGCATTAAATCTAATGTAACCTTAACTTTCTCTAAATTTTTTGCTGGTTCCATTGCAGCCTTGCTTCATATATGACGGATGAAGAAATTCAGAGAGGTGTGCTCTATCCATCTATAGACAGGTGAGACTTTTTTCTACACGTGCATGATTGCTAATGAGTAATGACATAACTGTTTTGTAGCGTATCCATATAATATTCACCACAGTACAACTGTATTACTTACCGATTCAGTGTGTTTTTTCATGAATATGTATCTTTGTTTGTGCCAGTATACGAGATATCACAGCAGAGGTTGGAGCCTGTGTTTTGAGGGCAGCAGTTGCAGAAGAAGTGGCTGAAGGACACGGAGAAGTGGGCCCCAGAGAACTATCACACATGTCAAAGGTATGATGACCTTATTTTACAAGGATTCTTTTTTCGCCTCCCGAGCTACTCGAAAATTGACACTTGGTCCCTCGTACTTTTAAAGTTGACAAACTGCCTCCCGAAAAAGAAACACATTACAATTACAATCAACATTTTTCCATACATTTTAATGCTGAGAATCTGCAGAACTTACAATCCTTACAATAAGCTGTATTGCTTTTAGGATCACTTTTTAGAACTTGAAACGAATCCTGTCCCGATACCAATGTGTATAGAATCATTTTTTGTTCCCCCTTTAGCCATAACAAAAAAATGTGATCCTTACATTGTTCTTGTGATTTGCAGGATGAAACCATCAGATATGTGAAAGAGAACATGTGGTATCCTGTTTACAGTCCTCTCGTCCAAGAAAAGTAACAAGCCGTGTGGGGGCCCACCATTTTAAAAAAAATATTTTTGGGCGACATTATAATTTTATTTATTATTATTATCATTATTTTTTTTCCTGCATAACATGTGCAGTCCATTGTATGCTCATTGAGAATTTGAGATACTAATGAATGAAAACTCGTATAGACAGAACATTCTCGCTTATCAGAGACGAGTAGATGGATGAAATAATCATTATTGTTGTAATGAACTATATTATTAGCTTGGTGATCACTAATTGCGGCATTTACTGTTTTGGGCTATAATATATGGCTGTGATGTGCAACAGTTTTGTTTAGCATGTGTATGCAATAAGACTCAGAAGTAGCATTTTCACCATTGCTATGCGCAAGACAAGAAGTGAAAAATATACTAAAATTTTAGACTTCGTAATTGGAAAGAAAAAATCAAAGACTTACGGATGCCAGTATGCCACTGGATACAAACGATTTTCGTTAACTATTGGTTTCATCATTTTTTCCTTCTTCTTACATTTCATTTTTTTTAACAATCTCACTAACGCAATTGCTAAATACAAAAATAATTATTATACATTTTACCCAACAAAATATGCTATTAATCCACCGACACATTTTTAACTATTGGTCTTATCAATTTATTTTTATATTACATCAATTTTAATAATTTATATTTTAGTAAAAATTAATCTTTTACTCATTCATAATCTTAAGTCTAATTGCACTATCACTATCAATAACTATGAATTCAAAAACCTATAAATATATAACGGGTCCGTTCTTGGTGACTAGGTATCAAATTATCCTAGTATATAAGGGTGACTAGGTACTTTATGAATAACCCATACACACACATTAAGTATACATATTCTCAGTTTTCTCTTATGAGTAAATACTGAGTGTCAGAGGTTTTTCGTCGGGATCCCTCCTAGACGTTTCGCAAGTCACCGGAGCTCGAAGTCGACGTCCGTTCGTGGTGTTCCGGTTCAAGATCAATTTGCACATCACTACTCATCTTGTCTTCAAGCTTGGCGAGGTAGACTTTTTTAAGGCTTGGGGTGAGTCAACAATAGTACACGAATATTCAAATTTTAAATAAAAAATTTCTATTAAAATAATATGTTTTCAGGAGTTCAGCTCGAATGGACATGGATTTAATTTGGGACTTTCGGGGTGGTCAAGTAAATTATATTATACATAAGATACTCGTTGAACACTCGAATTTATAATAACATGCTCGAATTCAATTTCGAGGTGGTCAAAATTCACTCGTACTCAGTCAAACTCAAGCTCAAACCCAATTTCAGACTCAAACTCTATTTGCTGCCTTTTTTTCACGAGAAAATTACTCCCTTAACGAGAGCTTCCAAACTTTATTTTAAGAAAACGAAGCAGGAAAAACTTCTACTCATTTACGAGGTATAATTGATTTAAAACAAAATCATGTAGAAAACGACGACCGATAGACCAAAACCCTAAAACTTTTACACCTAACCTTCTCTCTTCTTCCTTTTTCTTTCTTATCATTCTTCCTTCGCGCAGAGAGACCAAAACCCTAAATTGTTTCCCTTTTTTCTCAAACTCTTTTCATCCACACATCTCAATCCAAAATCGACAGCGACGACCGAGATAGACTGTCCGTGGCTGGCGGGGACCGTGGCTCGACGGCTCGATTGAAGGCGTGGGTAGCCGCCGACAACATTTAGAGGCAGAAGACTTGGCCATATGAAGCAGAAGGAAGAATCGAAGCCAAATCTCCGGCCGACATCCACCGCCATATGAAAGAAGACTTGGCCATACAGATCGGACGATCGCCACTTCACATCCCTCAGCGGGTGCTGATCGTGGCCGGTGGACGGCTTGCGATAGGGCGTGGGAAGTAGTCTGCGCCCCAGATCGACGGTGCGGTGTTCTGTTCCAGAGGTCGCCGATTGTCACGCGGCTGCACAATTGAAGACTCGGCTCAGAGACATCTCCTCGTCTCCCAATCAGAAGCAACGTCGAAGATGCACCGGGGCTCGTTGAGGAGATGAAGGGGTGATGGGAGTAGTGAGATCAATCAATCTTGTTTCAGAATTGTTTATATGTTGTTTATCTTATGTATAACTATACGTCTTTCAATAGAGAATTATCAAATTATGTTTATCTGATGTATATAGAATTGTTTATATGTTGTTTATCTTATGTATAACTATACATTTTTCAATAGAGAATTGTCAAATTATGTTTATCTGATGTATATATACAGTATAACTAAACATATATTTGGTCCAACATGTTGTTTATCTTACGTATAACTATACGTTTTTTAATAGAGAATTATCAGATTATGTTTATTTGATGTATATATATAGTATAGCTAAACATATATTTGGTGGTTGGATGATTTTTTTTTCGAATTCACGATGTCGATTAACCGAATTCTACCGAATTTTTTCTATTCTTAATCGGGATTGTAGCTTTTTTTTCAATGAACAACTAGATGGACGATTGTTCTTTGACAATCCCGTTTCAATTTCCTGAATCTCTAAATTATAGCTATAAGATTTGTTTTTTTTTTTTTTCCTTTGTTGCTGCAGTTTTTTAGCCGTAAATAAAGGATGGAGAGAGAAAGTACTAGCTCATTTCGTCTATATGTAATAAAAGCCCCACAAACCGTCTAGTTTGATGAAAGTTTAATTGGAACGTATATCTGTAAATATTTATTATGAGGGGTAACATGTGTAAATTCCCCTTTTTTCACACGTCTCAACACATGCAACATTGACTTAGCTGGGCCTGTGTATTCATTGTAGCCTGTAGGCCAGCCCAGTTCACTTGATAAGCCTACTATACTCCGAAGGCAGCTGCCCAGGCCCAACAGGTTCGGTTCTAATATTTTCTGTTGTATTGTATACGTTTGAAAAAACACACACGTCAACTTTCAAGATGAGTCTACCTTATTATTTTACAATCCTCAATTATTGAAAAATGAAAACACAAAAAAAATCACGCGCACACACACACACACACTCACTCCATCAAGGTCTGGCCTTGAGCTCCATCAATGGCTGAAAATGTGAAGAAGTAAGCAATAATTTCTTCCAGTACCATTATAATTTCGTGGGCTGCTTTTAATTTTCTCGGTTGGCCTTTTAATTTACTCGAATTTCTACTGCAGGTACGCTGTTGTCACTGGAGCAAACAAAGGGATTGGCCTTGAGATTTGCAGGCAGTTGTTGTGTGAAGGTGTAACAGTGGTGTTGACAGCTAGAGACGAGAAGAGAGGACTCGAAGCTGTTGAAAAGCTCAAAGGCTCTGATGGGGTTTCAGATTCTGCGGCTGATATACTGTTTCATCAGCTTGATGTGACTAATTTAGCAAGTACTGCTTCTCTTGCTGAGTTTATCAGGTCTCGATTTGGAAAGCTTGATATCTTGGTATGGACATAGATTTTTTTTTTTTTGGTCTGTTGGTTAGATCTCATGGTATTGGTACTGATACAATAGTTCGAATTTAACTATTTGCTCAACACTTCAGCTGTAATGTGAGATGGTTGTAAAATGCTGATGAATGATTGTTCTTTGTGAGTTTTAATGTGATGGGTGGTGTTTTCTAGAAGTAAATGAATCAAAGTTGTAGATGTTGAAATACTTGGGGACCATTTTTTGTTATGAGTGGCTAGTTTTTCATGTTTGTTGGTTCTTTTTTCCTTCCCAATGAATCCCCATGGGATAATTCTTTGATACTATAAGTTGAAATAATTGTGAGTGGCCAGTTTTTCATGTTTGTTGTTTCTTTTGTTTTCTCATTAAAATGAATCCAATGGGCTAATTCCTTGATTCTAAGTTGACAAAATCAAGATTGTTTATCTTGCTCTTCAATTTTTCTCTAGCCGAATTAGGCTAAGCATGGGCCAAGCTAGAAATGAGAATTTTATAGGCACGGTTGATTTTTGCTTTTCATGAATTGCTAAACTGCTAAATGTGTATTGTGCTGAGGTGAATAAGTTTCAGTCTGTAAATTGCTAATTAAGTTGAGTCCCATTTTATTTAGGTAAACAATGCAGGGATCGGTGGTGTAACTGCCGGTGCCGATGCTGTGAAAGCCATCACTGGGGCTGGCAGTGGGGTATTCTCTTTTTCCTTTTTTTTNCCCAGTTTATTACATTGCAAATTCGTTTTTCCAGTTCTTATAAATTTCTCACTTTAGACGTATGGATAATTCAACCTGTGCAAGTAGTGTATTTCGTTGTCCTAGTGGACTAATGTGTGAATGTTTGTGTAACTGAATTCTATGTGTTCCTCTCTCTCTCTCTCTCTCTCTCTGGGTGTGATTTACAGACTGGAGTAGCAAATGTGATTGAGATATTGACTCAGACATATGACTTAGCCGTTGACTGTATCGAGACAAACTATTATGGTACAAAAAGAACAATCGAAGCTCTTTTACCTCTGCTTAGGCAGTCTTATTCCCCCAGGATTGTTAATGTATCCTCAAACATGGGGAAGCTTAAGGTACCATATTATTTCCAATGGTTCGCACTTGTACTCAAAATTTATCTTACATTGAGCTGGGAATTAATTTATATGCAACTGCTTTACGATGGTAAATTATGTTGCCAACTTGCTTTATTAGCTGTTTAACACCATACCAAAAGCAAACTCTTATGGAGCACATACTTAGCAATGGAGAAGCTAAAATTATTCAATTATTATTTTTCAAGTCAAAAGCTATTGGTTATGGAGCATAATAAGAACCNTCAGAATATACAGAACGAGTGGGCCAAAGGGATACTAAACGACGCTGAAAACCTTACAGAAGAGAAAATCGATGAGGTGTTGAGCGTGTACCTTAAAGACTTCAAAGAGAGTTACCTAGACGCCAAAGGCTGGCCTCATTTTTTGAGTGCTTATACAGTTTCTAAAGTGGCTGTGAATGCTTACACGAGGGTTCTAGCCAAGAAAAACCCGGGTTTCAAGATTAACTGTGTGTGCCCGGGATTTGTAAAAACCGATATAAACTATAATACCGGTTTATTGACGGTTGAAGAAGGTGCCGAAAGCCCAGTGAGACTGGCGTTGTTGCCTAACGACGGGCCTTCGGGCCTATACTTTGTGAGGAAGGAGGTTTCATCTTTTGTGGAATGATAATTGAGTTTGGATTAATATTGTAAGGAAATATATATTATGCATGTTCTTGATGTCAATTAATTTGCATGTAATGTATTCAAACTTATTTGTTTAAATAATGATGCAGACTAGAGTGCGTTGACATATCTCGACTATGATCGTCTCGTCCCATTAGTTTAAGAATATATTTTATTATGCTTATTAATTGTTTTAATTATTTAGTTTTGTTTGGTGGACAACTTAAGAAATAGGATTTTTGGAATTCTTATTTAAAGGATTCCACATCTTTTGTTTTCAGTAGTTGAGTTTGAAATAAAATTGATCGTATTTTATTGTGTTGAGAGACTGGATCTCATTTATCCTTCCCTCTCGTCTACATCAAATAATCTCTTGAATATTGATCACCGTGGAGAAAATAATAATTAATGAAAATGTATCAGGTAAATTTTTACTTGATATGTTTCCTGATTGTAAATCATGAAAAAAATTTAAGCATACTATACGATTTTTAAGTAATTGCAACATTACACTTCATACCAATTTAATTGTGTGTATCTAATAGACAAAAATTAATAACAATTATACCTAAAATTAGTTACAGGTAGTGGAACAACCGTTCCATGTTTGTAGCGCAAGATTTCAGGAGCGAAGATGGAAATATATCATATTTAAATTTGAAAACATAATCTTCATTNAAAAAAAAAAAAAAAAAAACACGCCAACAGCAGCATCCTCTGGCCGTCGAGAGCAGCCTCGCCAAAAACGATACCACGCACGAGCACAGCCACCGTGAATGGCAGCCCTCCTCTCACCGGCGTCTTCGAACATCTCCGATAGCTTTCACGCGAGTCCGCAAGCAGCCCGACGAAGTGCGAAAAGCAACCGCCATCTCTACCGCCGATTCGAAACATGCCGTTGCCGTACGAATCGCTTCCCCTTGAGCCGACGGTGCCCAACCTCCACCGTCAGAGCCCGACGGTTCATGTCAGACCGTTGTTGTCGAATTGAACCGATTGGGTACTCATTTGGGACAGCTCTTTGGGCCGTCCATCCCGGTTCTTGTGTTGCTGTTTTTATTCTGGCTGACCCTTCATTACCGAAGCCGCAAGCTTTCAATGAGAGTCGCAGTGCTGCTATGTACAATACTAATAGTTTTCAAAATTAATGATTATTTCATAAAATGTTGAACATGTGAAAGTATATGTGCAGTATATTTTGGTATTTGTTCATAGAAATAAATTCCGTAGTTTTAATATTTTTTGGTTTATGTTCAGCAGTTTATTTTTATATGTGCAGTATAAGTATATTTTTGGTTTATGTTCATTATATTTTATCTTCATGTTCAGCAATATATTGTTTGGTTTATGTTCAGTATGTATATTTTTTGTTTATGTACATATATATACCTAAAAACATAAAATAAGTATGATGCCTAAAACATTGGTCTATACCTAAACAGATAGGTCTATATTTTTTGTTTATGTTCAGTATTTAGTATATATACTGAATATATAAACCATACTCTCGGTATATATACCTAAAATAACCTAAAAAAATAGAACATATATTTTATATACATACAAAAAATAACCCATACACATGTTGGTATATGTACTTATAGATATACATAGTCCGTCAAAAAATTTAAGTTGGTGTATTAATGTAAATTCAACATAACCTAAAAAACATCGAATATACCACTAGATTACCAGAATAGAATAGAACATATGATAAGATAGGTTCAAAATAATGTTGGCCATCATCACATCACAATTTTTTCAAAGACAAAACAAGTCATAATTCACAACATCTGAATTCACCCCAGTAGGCGTCCTCTCGCCAGAATTCCATTGGCGGTCAAAACGCTGTTTTTTTTTAACACGCCCGCCATTAATGGCGGACTCACGAGCCCTGGCTGCCAGTCCCAGTGGCGACAATCGCCGACAGCGGCTTCACCGTCGAGGACGAGAGATAAAAAACGGGCTTCAATTTCCGGCAGCGGCTTCACGGCTTCAATTCCATATTTTTTTTTATTATTTATTAATAACAGTCGCCCAGCGGCAGTAGCTCTTGGCCGCGCGAATTTCGACGGACAGCCTCAATGGCAACGACGGCGGCAGGGAGTATTCGGGGACCTCAATTCCCAGAATATTGAGTTCGAAGAAAGCAACAAAACCATTCCAAACGGAGAGGGGAGAGGACGAAGACGAAGCGAGAGGGAGAGAGAGCGAGATGGAGAGGGAGAGAGATTCTCTTCACCCGTACAATCAATAACTTCTAATTAATTATCTCAATTAATTTAAACGATCAAGTCTTAAATATATTAACATTATTTTAGGCTTATTTTAGTATAATTATAAATATTGATATAATGGGTGTATAGTTATAATATAATTAGAATATTAAAGTAAGAGGTGCAAATTCCTAAAAAACTGAAGCTAACGTTTAAAACTCTTTGATAGATATTGTTTGCTTCTTCTTCTTTACCACATTTTAAGCCGCCACAACGGAAAATGTAATATTCAATTGTATAAAAGTACACATCTTTAATAACAACAATATTTGTACGTTTCTTTAATTAGTCGTCCCTAGGTACGTTTTATCAGATCTCAATCAATTGTTGGCCATTTGCTTACGTAACAACCGTTGGTAGAGAAGATACACTACAAGAAATATGAGTTTTACCAACGGAATAATCTGTTGGTAATGAAATTTCCCAACGGAATGCCAACGGCTTACTAATAGATTTTCTTGTTGCTATATGGCTTGTTACTAAATTTTGCCAACAGAAAATACAATCCGTTGGGAAAATTCCCAAAGGATTACCAACAAATTTGCAACGAAAATGCTTCATGAGATTGTCAATGGATTCCCAACAGAAAATGTAGTTGCTAAATCATTCTGTTGGCAAATTACTAACAGAAAGCCAACATATTAGTTACGAATATACTAACAGATTACCAACAGATTTTTCTCAACGGATTTCCAACGTAATTTTCCCAACGGATTACCAACCGATATTTTTCCAACGGATTACCATCGGAATTTTCCCAACGGATTACTAACGAAATTTTCCCAACGGATTGCTAACTAATATTTTTTCCCAACGGATTACCAACGGAATTTTCCCAACAGATTACCAACGCATATTTTTTTCCAACGGATTGCCAACGGACTTTTCCCAACAGATTACCAACGGATTTTTCAGCAAAAAAAATAAAAAAAATAATAATATTGTTGATCCAACTTGGCTCACCTCGAGCCCATGGCCACCTTGAACCACACGGCTCACCATGACCCATGGCCATCCACCAATATAATCCTTAGTAATTCTCACAATTCTCCTAACAATAGGGCTTGAACTCAAGACCTCTTGCATGTTACAGAGGTAACATCACCACTAGGCTATATGAATGTATGAGACTGGATTCTACAATTCTTATATATATATAACACCACCACTAGGCTATAATTTATATATATTTACTAATTATTATATATTATATATATAACACCACCACTCATATGTAGATATATACGAGAAAATAATTAATAAATATATATAAATTATATTCTATATTTGAATTCATAAATATTTCTATATTATTTATGATCTAACCGTTCAATTATATTAGGTGTTTTTTTTAATGTCTAATTATAAAAATAGTGACTATATATATTAGTATCTATAAATTTATGACATTATTAAATGAACTAGTACGAATCCCGTGCGACGTACGGGTAAGAAATATGTATTAGAATTTATAAATTAAAAATACACATTAAATATTTATAAATTAAAAATATGGAATCAATGTGTAATACAATTTACCTATATTAATTTATTAAAATGTTATATAAAATTTAAATTGTGAAAAATTACATAAAATATGTCTATTTAAATTAGTACACAACCCGTACGATGGACTAACTGATAATAAATTATATAATATTTTTTATTTCAAAATAAGTGACATTTTAAAAAAAAATTATTTTTATAAATTCAATTACAATGTGATTCCATTAAAGAAATATTTTGGTAAAATTTGATCAAATATTTAAATATCTATTAAAATAATAAGTATAATTATAAAACTTATATTCTTTAGTTAATTAAAATGAATTTATTTTTGTATAAACTATCCAAATAAAAAATTTTAAGTAGTTGAGTAATTTATTAAATTAAATAATTAACTATTTCATTTACGTCAAAGTTAGTATTGACTCATATGTTATTAATAATTACTTATTTAACTTTTAAATTTGAAACTCAAATTTGGACTACACAATAAATTTCATTTATATATGTATGTATACACACACACACACACAGATATATATAATATATATATGTATATATATATATATATCATTCAAATTTATTACCTCATTAAATAATGTTTACAAAATAAAAATATGGAATAAA